GCAATAGGACAATTCCTTAATTTCCTCTACAACATGCAGCAGTTACATATTTGTCTGTATGAGGCCTTCCCAGGAAATAAACAAAATAATGCACCCTTAGACATAATATATTAACTAAATACATTAAACAATGAGGTAATTGTATTCTTATGCATATTGCACAACATCCCCCTTGTGCATTTAATCTGACTCATTGTAATTCTTGCTTTCAGTTTTTGACCATTTTCCTCTTGATCAAAGTTTATCCTTTACATTTGTACATAACACATTGTTGCTTTGGAACACATTTATTTAATATTCCATCCAGGGTCGTCTGTTTTTGTCTCTTGACTTAACCTTTTTAAGTCAGAGTCTCACCAGTGTTTTTTTTTTGTACTCTGCTTTACTGCCATCACACATTAATTTGTACCTCATCAGTTCTCCTCAGTAATTGAATGTTAATCAGTTGCCTTTTTGGTACATTCACATTAAAACACGGCCCCTTCCAACGACCAGACAATCTCTACAGACGTCAGTCAAAGGAATCATTGTTTAGTATAAATACTTCTCCCTGGGCCGCTGGTTTCACTGTCAAGTTCAAGCAAAGAGGTTATTTGACTTCTTCTAGTCCATTAATCACTTGGTATTACAATACCTTCATTACATTTAAAACTTCAGTAGTGTATTTGGCAATTAAAGCACAAACAATTGACTGATTTTCTGACCTCTGGCTGGAACTATTTGAAAACTTACATTGTCACATACTTCATTATTATTACTAGCTTATTTGCCCTTGGAACACATTCTACAGACAGTAAATATTATTTAATAATTATGTTTACTAACATGCATTTCATCCAGGTCTCCACTGGTATCCGTTCTCATATGCTGCTTTGCAGTAGTTGATCCTTTTCTGTCCATATAATTACATATATGCAGTCTCACAGGCCTTCACAAATGCTATTAAAGCTTGTATTGGTCTTATTTTCTTATTTCTTTTAAAAGTTTACAATTTAAATTTCAAATAAAGACCATGTTTTCCTTAGTTTTTCTTTAGTCTTTCAACCAGACCATCTGTATTTGTATCTGTATTACACACATAAGTTACTCTGCAGTCTCAATTGAAATAAACAAAAATGGAGATGTAAGCATATACTGTATTTCTTCACCTTGTACATTACAATCCATTTATATATCCACATATCGGCATACAACACATAACAACCTATAATGTATTAACTCCTTTCATTTATGTCACCTCTTTCAAAAATGTTGTCAAATGATGTATTTAAATACGGTCATTCTGAATTTATAACTGCCTTTCTTCCCTCAATATTTTCGTTGTCCAAACCCTTTTTTTTTTGTTAAATCATAGCTCCTTATCTTTTAAATATCTCCCCATATTCTATGTAATTTTGTTGAGTTTCTCTTATTTTGAGTCTATATTATTAATGTTACTTTATGAGGTCTCATAGCACCTACTCTCCCGGGTGAAGGACGAACCTAATACATGTCATTGTCTGAAAACTGTTTTACTCTCTTCCTTAACTTTTCAGCTATTTTGCAGATTCCAGAAAACCTCAGAAGCCTTTGAAGGCCTTTCTGATTTTGGCACACTTTATCTTTTTCACATTATTCAAGAACTACACCCAAGCAATGTTTCTGTATTGTTTGTATATCTACTTGTAATCTAGTTGTATTGCCTGATATTTTCTTAAGGCTTTTATAATTATATTAATTATTTAGTTTTCATTAACTCCATTGTTAAATCATAGTCCCTTTCAAGGAACGTCTGCTCAGCTGGCGGATATATTTCAATGCCTCCGAGCAGTCATTTCAGGCATCTCTCTGGATGGAGGAATCCTGAAATCTCAAAAACTTAATTAATCAACTAATTCTGACATAAACTATCCCATTATTGTTGCTTCTTATCCTCAAGCAGTGTAAAAAAGAACAACTTATCTTTCAGGCTAGACCAGCCAATGCACGTGTGCAGTCCTAAGCACAAGTTTTAGGTTTCTATGGAATCTGGAGCTTCTAACATCATCTGCTGTGATGCAATTCCTTTACCAATCAGCGACTGGCTCTTTTACTTAGAAGGAATGATATATTCCTCCCTGATACATGTTGCAGTTTCTCCATTCAAGTAATAGGAGTGAACCATTTTTTATATCTATATTCTTTGTTTAAATGCAAAAAGTAATTTAAATGACCACATTGATTACTTACAGTATTTATTTTCTTTACTGAACTTTAAGTAACAGTTAACTTTATTTGTATCATTATTATCTTGCACCTAAGGCCACATTTGTTTTATTGTATTCCCCAGTGATTTGTATAACTTGTGTATTTTTTTCTCAAACAAATTATTACTTTGTCACTATAATGTAAGTGACAGTAGATAGTAGCTAGATAGCAAGATGGCGCCGCCGAGGGCCGCCTCAGTGCTTGGCTCTCCAGTGTTTGTACTGTTTTTGTTCGTTTTTCCTGTTTTTTGTTTCTCAAACACGATCAGTTTTACCAGGGATGAACTGCTGAACATTCGGCAGAACACACCAGAAAATCTTCAACCGGATTTCGATTATTCTGATGTTTTGCTGAACGTTGTAGTTGGCGGAGCAGCGGCGCTGATCAAGCGCTTCAGGAGGCGCAGACGGGGGAAGAGAGCCGGCGTGCTCGTGAAGCTCAGGCAGCACGAATTTCGAACGCCGTTGTCTAGAATCCATCTGGCGAACCTCCGCTCTCTACCCAACAAAACGGACGAACATCTTCTGCTCTCCAGGACAAGCAAGGATTTTTCAAACTCTGCTGCTCTGTGTTTCACCGAAACCTGGCTGAATGATGCCATTCCGGACAGCGCGCTACATCTGCCCGGCTTTCAGTTTCACCGAAACCTGGCTGAATGATGCCATTCCGGACAGCGCGCTACATCTGCCGGGCTTTCAGCTGTTTAGAGCAGACCGCGATGCAGAATCAACGGGGAAATCACGCAGTGGCGGGACATGCTTTTACATTTATTTAGTCATTTATTTAGTCATTTAACAGACACTTTTATCCAAAGCGACTTACAAATGAGGACAACAGAAGCAATCAGTTGCAGTATTAAAACAACTAAAAACAGATCCAAAACTAAAAGCTAAAACTTTATAAATATTACCTATACACATTTTAAAAATAAAGAAATTAAATAAAAATGACAAATCCATACAACAATATTTCAAAACGTAACATTTAAATGAAAAACAAAAAATAAAGCTAAAAACAATTCAAAATATTAAAGAACAAAAGGTATAAGAGTATAATAATGATTCTAACATAACACTAAATTTAAATAAAATTTAAATTAATAGAAAAAAACAATTAAAAATGCTAATCCAAACACCAAAAAAACAACGTACATGTTGTTTGTACATTTGTACACATACATACATACATACATACATACATACACATATTTTGCTTTGTTATTTGTAATAAAGATGTATTCACCTGACTCAGCTTTCTGGTACAAGTGAATCAGTACTCACTTGCTCTGGCAATCAATTTATAATGATTTACAAAGGTATTGCGGTTATTTCCTTACATTACTACAGGAGTGTACAATACTGATCCTAGAGGGCCATTGTCCTTCAGAGTTTAGCTCTAACCCTAATCAAACACAGCTGAACCAGCTCAACAAGGTCTTCAGGATCACTAGATACTTCCAGCGTGGTGTATTGTAGCAGGTTGGAGCATCTCATGCTTCTTCTCGTTTGTGCTGATCAATGTTCAGACTATTGAGGGGCCACTGGATAGATTCATACATCAATGAAAGGTGGTGTACAGATGTAACAGCGTTAAAGGGACGACTTTTAAACACTGCATTTGTAATTTAAGTAACTTAATTTTATTCACATTAGTAACTGTAATCAAATTACATAAATTTAAAATGTAACGCATTACATTACTGCGTTACCAGGAAAAGTAATTAGAATACAGTAACGTGTTACTGTTACGTTAACCTTTAACCCTTTGATCCTTTGATTAGTTAATACAAACTAACTATGAAAAATACTATAAAGCATTTAATAATCTTAATCAATGTTCAATTCAACACTTACTAATACAATGTTAAAATCATCAGTTAATAGTATTTAATGGACCTAACATGAGTTAACAATGAACAGTTGTATTTTTAATTAACATTAACAAAAAGATGAATACTGTAATAAATAGTTATTCTCAGTTTATTGTTAGTTAAGTTAGTTAATGCATTAACTAATGGGACCTAATTGAATTGTTGCTCTTTTGTTTTCATTATTTACTGTTTGAAGGGAATGTTTTTTACTTGTCTTTTTTCTCAGTTCTCTTTGTAAACTATCTTTCTTCTTCACAGCCATTTTGAGACATTCGTTCTCAATAAAAAGGTTCGTCTGAACAGCAGCAAGCTGAATTTCTCAGTTAAAAAAAAACTGTTGTACTGTTGCTGTGTTGGTAGACATAACGTATTGTGTTCTTTCCAATAGGCTACTTTACTTAAGTAACTAGGTAACAATATTAATTTTCTGTATGTTTTACAATGAATGTAAACTGCATCATGTTTTACAGTTAAACTGGACACAGTTTAAGTTTATTACAACAAAACTAATTACATTGTGAGGTAACATCAAATTACATCTCTTCATTCCAGGTGGTGAGTTAAAAAAAAGATCTGCACACAGTTTAACTACATTATTGTACATGTAGATATAGACAGTAGAAAAGAAAAATACAGAGGTAGGCACTGTGATCTACACAAACCATTTTCTGAAACATTCATTTATGGGTTCTACAAATTCACAAATATACAGAATCCCCACTAGCAGCAAAATATTGACTGGCCATTCTTTGCAAGGACAACAACCGTATTTTTCTTTTTTATGTAGCTGCATTAATGTGGTTTGTAGAATATTTTGTATCACTTTAAAAATACAGATGACACTTAATTGCACTTGAGAGAATATGAGATAACTGTGAAACATTTCAATCTGATTCCTGCACATGCATACCACTGAAATGTCCTAAAAGTTCCAAGATGAATATAACATCTTTTAGTTTTTAGTGTAATTTATAAAATACATAATACAACTATTATGAAATGTACTATTTTAAATTCCAATTAACTGGTTCACTGACCCATCCTTCCTTTTCTCCTGACTCTCTTTCTTCCTTAATGAATTCTGAAATACATTGTTTATTGTTAAAGTGACTGGATCAGTTTGCCAATAAAAATATACATTATATTAATCTTATGTGTTACATGTCTTGTTTTATGCAAATTCAGTGTGCCAATGGAAATGCACTGTTGGTTAATGAGACCACCTCAAGGCTGTGGAATTCACATAAAAGAATGTAAAAATTTTGATTCAAAATATTAAATACCAGGTCGAAATATATCACATTTACAATATACACAATTGTATTTAATTTACCCAAGTTCAGTATGACATGCCTCTTTTTTATCATCACATGCATTTTTTTTATGAAAGAATAAAGAATAAAGCTGATTAGGTTTAAACGTCCCACTTTAAGAGCATTCACAGGCAAGGAGCACAAAGTTGAGGAGGAATGTCAGAGAATGTCATTGCTTGTTGGATAATGTGGATTTGCTGTATGTAACCTTGTCAGTCACCAGGAAATCTACAGCACCTGATGAAGCCACTCTGATCAAATCTCCTCAGCTAACTGAAGAAGTATGTACTGTTTTTCACTTATAATCTTGAGAAGACACGGAGAAATATTTTCTAGTTAAATGTTGAGCAGAAGAGCAGAAGAGCAGATGATCAAGATGAATTTGAACAGGATTCATGTCATTTTACACAATAAGCCCATGGCTTGATAGGCAAAAAGCCCTGTAATGACATTGATTGTACCAAACCTTTTCTCTGTTTTCCACCTTGCAACTGCATATTGATGCATTTTCTTGAAATCTTTGTTTTGTGCTTGACGTGAACTCCTCTGAAACCACTTGTTTTTGTTTATGAACCTGTTTTCCAAAAAAGAAGGGGTGGTTGCACTTTATTATCGTTATTATTATTATTATACCATTTAAATCTATGCAATAAATACATGTAAAAGAACGATTTGTAATCTTACGTCACGGCTCTGTGCGATTTCATTCATAGTGTTCAGCAAATCAAGCTCCAGAGATTCTCTGTACTCTATGTGCAATTTCTTCATTTCTTTGACATCTTCGCTTTCCATCATTTCAAGATATTCTTCCTCAGTCTGTGCAACAAACACAAGAATATGCATAAGCATTGAATATAATCAACAGTATGTATAAACATACATTTTGCAAATCCCTAGATAATCACTATATCTAACCATCATAAGATATCTGGAATCTAGTATTCAGAATGTTCAGAGTTATGGTTTAATCTTCTTAATTAGCTACTTATTATATTTTATTGATTGGCTGAGTGGCATTTCAATACAGTGCTGCGACTTTTCACTGATTGTGTCACTACACTTATCATTATTTTGATCTTTTTTATCAATCGTTCACCTGATTCAAAACAGATTCGACTGATTCAAAAATATGAATTCATTATTGAGCGTTGTCCGGTATCTTGCTTTGGCTTTGTTTGAAACTACTGTCGTTGGCAGAATAAAACCGGGAAAGTAATGGCCAACATTGTGTCTAAATTGTAAACCACTCAATATAAAAATCTTGTTCAGTGAAATGTTAGTATGCATGTAGGAATAAAAAAATAAATGTATAATGTATGTTTTTGTGACCTCACCGGCTCTTCAAAACACTCTCCAAGCTTGAAGGTCTCTATTCCAGGGAAAGCCATTTCGCACTGGAACAGGTCCCTCAAATTCCTGGCTACGAGGTGCAAAAGCTCATCCTCACAGGCAAAGACCCTTCCATCTTCACCCAACAAAAGCACCAACTGCAGACCGAATGCATCACATGGGAAGTCATCAATGGCACCAATTACCTCCATTTCCATCCTTTCTGGCAGGTAATAATCTTTCCAGGCTTCAAGCTGTTCTTCATCCCCTTCGTACACAGTTTCTTCCAGCCCACAAATTCTCAGAGTACAACTTCTTGGTTTAACAAGAGGAATTGTCGAGTTGCAGTGATGCTTGACGAAATTTGCTATTCCACAGAGGTCCACAGCATCTAAAGCACAATCACTATTAGTAGTAGTAGTAGTAGTAACTAATAGATTTGAATAGAAATAAAGAAATATAATATGCAGGCAGATACATTTATATAGTTTTATATAGTACACAATGGTAAATGTATTTATTTTTGTACTTTTGTACAGACAAAAAATGTTAATTACACATACATTGCATCAATGTACTGTCTGTATCAATTAATTTTGTATTATTTAAAGTTTTTTTAAGTGTCCAGGAATAAGAGGTATGGATGAATCCTATTATCCTTAATCTAATAAATGAAAAAATTCACTTCAGCATTCCGGTAAACAAATGGATAGTGGGGAAATGGTGTGCCAGATGAAATGAAGCTAATAAAACATCTCACACTAGTTGTGTTGATTGTGATTCCTGAATTTGCCATGTCCCACAAAAACACTCCGTACTCTTGCTCCATCGGTGATCCATTTTCTCATCCTTGCTGCATGGAATCAATGTCTTGTATCAGTGATCATGCAACATGCTTCTTCACCACTATATACCCAATCTGAGCAATATCAGAATGTGTGTCAGTGATCCTCACAAATTGTGAAGATTTCAATTCTCAATCAATTCTCTGCATTCCATTAGTTGAAGAAGTGTTGAAGGACAGTGTCACTAAAATGGAGACCAGGAAACTGTACGATGAAGAATCAGCCAGTGAATAAGTCCAGAATTCATCTGCAAGCTGCATTCATGACATTGTGCAATTTTTCATAAGTATTTTCCTTACTGCAGGCATGAACGATGACAGATCCTATGCTTGCTCTTAGTGCTGGGCGGTATACCGGTTCATACTGAATACCGGTGTTTATTTTTGTTATAATATGAATTTTTAAAATACCGCAATGTATGTCGCTTAAACAACATTCGGAACGTGACACTGTTTGAAAGAAGTCACTTTTCACTGTTGCACTGTGGCGAGGGAACAGCTGTATGTGTTACTAAGCGTGAAAGTTCAGAAACTGAAGCTGTAGAACTAATAGAACGTGATGACGCAGAAGAACTCATCCACAATATCCACACTGACCTCCACAAATATCCAGCGCCCGCTGCCATCAGCTCCCGCGTCTCACACACATGAGCGAGACTTTAGCACTAGATTTAGCAACTTTCAGACCCTTTTAGCGGCTTTTTCCCATGAACGATGACAGATCCTATGTTTGCTCTTGACTAGAGATGTCCAATGTGAGATTAATTTGTTCTTTTTATTTGTATATTAATAATTGATTGAACCAATTCACACTGTAGAGCAAATTTGAGGGACTATGGAGGAAATTACTATCATTTATTAAAACCAAATGTGGTACATATTAAACACAACTGAGCCTTTGTAATCAGAACAAAAGTATTATTTGCATATATAAGACAACTGAAACATAATGCTTTGTGTGTTTTTGATGTCAGTCCTTTATATTAAGTGTACTTAGGGTCACCTGTCTTCCATTGTCCCTGGAGTCATTTGATTCCACAAAAAGTTCCATGGTAGCTTTATGGATTTTTTGTTGTTGTTGGAGAAACTCACATTAGTCCAAGTGATTATCCCGGTGGGATGCATCTTCTCGACTCTGCCCAAGTTTGCTGCAATCTCAGGTTCTTCCAAATGTAAGAGGCATGTTTTGGAATCGCTCGCACTTTACAGTAATGCTCTGCAGAGATGTTGTGCAAATGTCACAGATCTTAATACCGTTCAAGATCTGCTTTCAGTATTTGCACATGTGCTCTACACAGTCCCATTACCACAAAATAGGAGTCTCCAAAACATGACAACATTGTACTCGATCAGCGGACCATTCTTTCTTTTACGCAGCTTGTCTGTCAGTGAACAGCAGACAATCCATTACAGCTTCAGACGTTGAAGCTTGCAATCACAGTCATCCTTTTGTTACAGGCAGCCATCTTAAAAGCTTTAATGTCATTTCATTTTCTTCATTAGACTAGATTAATTTAATTGGCTAATTTTCTTTCTTAAGACTGTGTTTGGGGACTTATTTGAATGAGAATTCAGCTCAGATTTTCAAAGACAAATGATGCTGGTAAGACAGAGGGCATGTAACAATATAACCAAGCTGATTCTTTTTCAAAACATTTTGAACTTGTCCTTTCTTACCTTCAGTGAATGACAGAAATTCCTCCTTGATTTTTTCTGGGGATCTAAAGGGTGGAATGACATTTTTAACAGTCATATTTGAATATAGTATTACTATGATGTTCAGAAGTATACAATGTTGCTTTATTTGTTTTCTTTTATTATCTTTGTTAAAGTTGGTTTACAGAGTATAATTGCCACAGGTTGTGGCCATATTGTGAAAATACAGTTTAACTAGGAGGAATAAAAAGAGGGCAACATATAAGAAAATGTAAATTAAGCACACTGATAGCTAAATAAAATAAAATAAAATAAAATGAACATTTATTTCGGAAGTCATGCATCCATTCTTTTGTTTATTTAGAAGTCTCCATACACCAATTCCCTTGTTCCCACCCTGTTTTTCAGAATGAACACTGATGGCACAATCCTTTACTTACTTGGTTGTCATGGTTCAAATTGTGTTTTCAAGACTGAAGACTTCTTAACGTTGCACTCTATGTTCTTGTCCCAGACTACAATAATAATTGTAGACGTAAAAATGGTCAGCAACACATTCTGATACAATCGATTAATCTCATTCTGTGCCTATTGCCATACGTTTCCATTGTTCTTCCTTCATTTTCCAACTACATATACAATATGTTTATATAGCAACAATCCGAAATGACATATCCTACATCAAAATAAATCCCTAGAATTGACTGGATGGTAAATTATTTGAAATACACATACAAACATACACATTACCTGTCAGAGAAGTTGAGAATGTGTGCAGTGGATGGGCACAGTGGACTGAACACAGTCCTGCAATAACAAAATACATTAGGGAAACTGGGGGGGAAATATACTGTACTGTATATGCTTGTTTTACATAAGACATTTTGATAGTCCTTCTTTTGGATGGACTGGCAACACATTCTGATAACAAAACATCTCATTGTGAAGTTGTGTAGTGCAGTGCAGTGAATCAGCATATAATATAAATGCAGTTACTGTACTTGTTCAAAACAGGTTTCCCAACTCATGTGCATATACATCATATACATATGAAACTAAAATAAAAAACTACAACTACTTGAGTAACTAAATGTCCACCTCGGCTATTTAATCTAAGATCGTTCAAAACCGGTTCTGCCTGACAGACTGATCACAAGAAACAACGAGAACACTGTTTTTCTTTTTCTTTCTCTTTCTTTTCTTTTTTTCATTCAAATACAAAGTTACCTAACATTTTAATTAATATCTGATTTTTTAATTTTTTTTATAAATTTCTGGTTTTAATACAGTAATAACCTACATAGACTACTTTTAAGTAAAGACACAGACACAGACAACAAAATACATAACGTTTGTTTTTAAGTATCCCAAAATATGCTTTATGTGTAAACATTAATAAATAAATCAATCAATAAAATAACTGGTTGTGTTTAAGACAAAAATAATACTTAATATGAGTCAATATGACTTAATAGGTTACACCAACAATTTTTACATATGTTTAAGGGTTGGACCAGGAAGAAATGTTGCTCAAAAAACAAAACAACAAACTACACAATATACACTCCTTCTTACATTTTAGATATCTGTAATCTCACCAACGACTTCAATTTTCAATTGAATCCAACAAATAAGCTAATTTTCTTCTTAAAGTAAAAATGAGTATGGCTGTGGTGTATTTTTTATTTTTTTTGTTAGGTCTTCTATAAAGTAAAGGAATAAAGATCTACTAAAAAAAATAAAAAATAAAAAACAATGAGAGAGAGAGAGAGAAAAACAAAAAACTAAAAAAACTTACCCAGCTTCTCTCACCAGATAATTGTTGGTGGTTAGATGTACACTGAAACCTATGGGTAGTTACAAGGGGAAAGTACCTCATAGGTGGGGCTGTTCTCCAACCTGTTTTCATGAAGGTGGAGCTCCTGAAAGGTGAGGTGCGCATGTGTTGGTATTTTTCCATCCAGGAACACATACACAATTATATTGAAATCACCTGTTGCTTAAGTTGCCTATATGAACAGAGCAGAAAGAAAATGTCCTGCATTAATAGCTATACTGCTTAGCTAACATATCTTACTCGACATTCAACATTTTCCAACCAAAAGTCAGTATGTTCGAAGACACCAAATGAAAATGAATAACTGGATTTTATTTGATGGTTTGATAATAACACATTTCAAGAATACTCTGAAATAAATAGCAAAACATATAGGAACCCAGAGACTGAATAATTCAGCTTTTTAATAATAGGTTTAATAATTGAGCTGTTTGTTTGTTTACGTTTTTATTTTTGTCTAGTCAAGTTTATTCTTTTTTCATAAAGGAAAGAGTAGGGGTAGATGTCATATGAGGAAGTTGTCACATGACAATAAGGCTTTTTTTTTGTAATTGGCGTAAATTGTTGGGCTTGTCACGTTATTGATTTTCTTCAATTACAACATTTGTTGTCCAAAATTTTTGTTTTAGTGGGTGGTCCAGATTATCTTAAAGCTGTTGACTCACAGCGACAGGGACATTTCATCTCTTTTTCTCATTTTTTCAATAAAGGCATTTGGATGAATTAAACAGAATACTCTATATTGTTTGCAGTAACATTTTATTTTCACAATTACACAAGACGTTTTAGAATATTACTAACCATTTCCAATTATATGGAAAATACCATTTATGTACAGTTTTCGAGCTGAAATGAAAGGCAATGACATTCATGCACTTTAACCAGAAACTCAAGTTGTGGCTTGTACTGTAAAACATTTGCAAGACAAACTATGAATAATCTATGGTAATCATGCTCTGTCATCAAGTGCACAATGCACACCCTGTACCAAACCGGTTTGAAAGCTGATGAATATAAGGTTACACAATGTGTTCATCGTCACGCAATCAATAAAGTGGAAATTCTGACAGAAACCTATACACCAATGAAACTGAATCTCAACACAAAGTGCTAAAAAACATGATCAACAATGACAGATTTGAGTGGTTTTTCAATGAAGTATGGTGAAAACCCTTTTTGCTCTCATTTGGACCTTTATTTTTAAGTGTGTGGGTCAAACCATAGAAGATCATCTTTATTTATATTGCTGAGAGAATGTATGGAAGCAAGCTTCCCTCGTAAACGTTCTCTAGTATGGTCTTTTAACATATTCATTTTGTCAGTTGTATAATTCCTGATTTCTATATTCTCTCGCATGAAGTGATCATTGAACAGGAGTTTGCTCAAGCACTCTGTCTCTGCACAATTGCCATAAGGATAAGGTTTTTGTTCTGTACCTTCTGGCAGATTGAAAAGACGCACACAGTTCATACATGGTTGTCTTTCCTTGTAAGTGTTGTTTTCCCAATCCCTGATGTATGCCTGGCATTGCATAGACTTATGAAACTGTAAACTGTCACCCTCTGTTTGATGTTCAAAAGACATTACTGCATATGACACATACTCATGCCACGTATTTATACATGAGGAATATATCATAGTACTTTTGGCCTTTTCTGTCCTACAACCCAGAGAAGCACCAAAATATTCTTGTGATGTGTACAGGCTATTGGAGCAAACACAAATGACGGTGGATTCCAGTGTGTAGTAGCACTGGTTTTTGTTTGCTGGTCTGTGCAGAGGATAAGGAAATTTCAGCTTTTTCATTAGACTGCAAAGCTCCTTCATGATGTTCTCTTTTGTGCCAAATGTAAGCTGCATCTAAAACAGTCAAATGTACATTTTTGAGGCATTAATAAATATACAACAAGTCACAACTATTCAAATAAATACATAACCTAATATGATTCTTACTTTGTCTAACAATATTGAGAAAGGTGTCCGTTTTGGCAAATGACTCTTGTATTTCCTAAACGGTTCTGGAAATTCCTGTCTTACAGTCTCAGCAATCTGTGCAGATAAAATGTCTTCAGGAGAGACACAGTCCTCATGAATGATCCCTAAAAAGAAGATGCTGTGGAGAATCTTAAAAAAAGTTTAACAAATTTAATAGACTAGATTATTATCATCGTCATCATCATGTTTTTAGTGTAGGCTATAGGCTATGCAACATATCAGAGCGATTACTATGAGGTAAATAGTCAATCTTTCATTAATTTGTATGTGTGTGTGTACATACCTCATTAACATATGTTCTAAGTTTATTCTGCTCTTTTTTAAATTCTTCCATTACATGACAAATTAACTGGAACCCACAGGTTTTCAAGTTCTCCTTGTTAAACTCACGGATCTTCCCCAACCCAAGAGGCATTTGTCTGGTTGAGGAAATTATTTAGTAACCATACGGACACAGACTTTCTTATATGTAAATTAAATGTAATTAGATTTGCATGCATGGATTTCGTTTTTAAAGCCTAATGAATAAAACACGGCTAGAAGGGGGAAAACAAGTACTTACCTTTTTTTCCTATCCACAGCCATCTTAGTTCAGAAATGACTAACACGAGGAAGGAAGGAAGTTTTAGTTCAGTCACATTGTGGCATCTCCACCCTCCTTGATTCCTGCACATTCACTGATACGAACGCGAGAAATAACAACTGTGAGAGAAAAAAATCGCGACTATATAATTTTTTTTCTCTCGAGTTGCGTGCTTTTTGAACGTTGCAGCTACTGTAATGTAGTGTTTCGTTTAAACACACTAGATACATACATTGTAACATCTGAGGGCCACGTTTTAACATGATCATTTGACAGCTTAAAATGTTATTTTATCTAATAAAAAATATACAAGACAAACTAAAATATTTTGTCAATAAAATAAAGTCGTTAACTTATTAAATTACGTTTTTTTAGGAATTCAAAATAATCTCATTTTGGGGTTTGACATTGCTGAACACATTGCAATCATGTTTAGGATGGCCCTGATCGCAACACACAGCTATACAGTATAGTTCAAAACAATGTGGGCAAAAAGAAACACATTTAGACATTCAGAAAACACAGAGAGGAACGCAACACTCCCCTCCCTCCACGCACAGCTCTCACAGAACAGGAGATGCCAATGTTTTACATTTCTTGAAATAATCTTTTCTGAATACTAAACATTGACTGACAGTCTTTATTCACCTGTTTCTCGTAATTTCTCATTAAAACTCATAAAAGTATATGAGGTAGTTCGACTCGGGAGTGAGAATTCACGGGAACGGGACGACGCAATTCCGGTAATTCTGCAAACAGCAGCTTACTTGATAACATCAGTCAGCTCGCCTTGGCTACTGCAATTTTCCTCACTTTATTTACAAAAAGACGAAATATGAAATCAAACACCACTGTCTACTTTCGTTTTCATTTGAACATATTAATAGAATAAAGACCAAAGATTACCTGTTAGATTTACCCAAAACGAATGATATCTTATGTTTAGAAAGAGACATCAGAGCCAGCGGCAAATGTCAGAAGGACTAGCCGAGGTGAGGCTGCTCTTGTCGGGAAACATGAGCACTGAGCGCCCGCTGATCGTGTGGAGCTCACATCTCATCTCCGAAATCGGCGAAACACATTTTCAAATAGGCGCTGTCTTTATAAATAAACCGCAGATTTGAGTTTTAAACAACTACATTCTTGCCTGAAATACTTTTAAAACTAGAGTTCATGACACAATAACAGTAATATTTTGAAAAGTATAGGAATAAATGGTAGTTGAAATACAATGCTGCGTGAACTCAACAAATCAGCATGTTTAGCGCCCAAGTCCCGCCCCCGAAAGTTCCGGACCTTTGAAAAAGTACTACCTTGCAGGAGCTGTGCTCCAAAGTTAAGTGCACACACTTCGAAGGGCACACCTCCGAAGTGCACGAAGGGCCCTCCCAAGTGCATGAAGGACGCTCAGCCTTTGCAGGATTGACTAATTGCGACAACAGAGGTTCCCGATTAGCGCTCTAGCAACGGTGCCAGAGGAGAGCTGAGGAGAGGACAATCAATATATGAAGTAGGCAACTTTAAATTTAATAACCTTGAACATATTCAGAAGTAAAATGCAACATACACATTAGCGCAGCAGTAATATTAATGCAAAACCATCCTAACAAATAATTTTTTTCCAGAACAATACTGTATACCTTTACTTTTACTCTCAATACCTTAAGTATATTAGATTATGCAAGATAATACTTTTACTTAAAGGATAGTTCAGCCAAAAATATAAATTCTGTAATCATTTACTCACCCTCAAGCTGCTCCAGGTTTGGAATTTTCATTTTTGGGTGAACTATCTCTTTAGCTAAGGTTTTAAATATGACTAGTAGTTTTTCCATGTAGTTTACTAAAGTATCTCAATATTTCTTCTACTAATTACTTTGTCATAGCTCTAAACGGTTTCAGTTTTTCTTCTTTCCCTAAATCAGACCAGACCCCTGTACTGCAGGATAAAGCTGAATGTGGCAGCGCTTGACAGGTTTTTAATGATATTCGGCTGAGCAGGGAGGCCCTGACAGTGATGCTGGATCTTCTGAGAAGTGCCACAATCCAGACCCTGGTGTTTCTCTTCTGTCTGGCCAGTGGTACATCATACAGAGTGGTCTCCAGAGTGTTTGACATGCCTCGTCACTGCATTGTCCTCAGAGTCGCTGAGGAGGTACTGGCCATTCACCAAGAGATTCACCTCCTGAAGACCCCAGAACACATGGAGGCAGGACTCTACTGACCTCCAGACCTCCAGACCTCTGGAAACTTCATGTCTGGTCCCTGGAAAAAACGGGACGCGGAGGTTCTAGGTGACCTACCCCAAGAGGTAGTTGACACCATCACTTCAGTGAGAGCACCGTCTACAAGACACACTTACGCTTTGAAGTGGAACCTGTTCGTTGAGTGGTGTTCTTCTCACCGATAAGACCCCCGAAGATGCCAGATCAGAGTCGTGCGGTCCTTTTTGCAGAAAGGGTTGGAGCGAAGGCTGTCTCCCTCCTGTGTTCTCACCTCAAATGGGTAGAAGCACTGAGTGGCCCCGGCTTCGGGTCGGCTTGCTAAAACCGCTCCAGAGAGTCAAGGCAAGTCAAGTCAAGTCAAGTCACCTTTATTTATATAGCGCTTTTAACAATACAGATTGTGACAAAGCAACTGAACAGCATTAATTAGGAAAATAGTGTCAATAATGCAAAATGACAATAGTAAACACT